TGTCTCCTTTGTACGACTCCTGAGTTGGATCGTCGTGACTCGGAATGATTGTGTACGCTTGTGAGAATCCGCAAAATCGCTGAAACTTTTCACCCCGAGGACTGTTCAGTTTAATGCTGAATCGATGAGACAAGGCACAACTGAGTCAATTCGGAATTGTTTTATTTGGGCGAGATTTGAGTCATTTAAAATACAGAATAGCGGAGGAACAGTTGCGTTCATTTTGTCACCCGGTAGACAAACAAACAACTCAATTCCCATCGTAATCTATTCACAATCTGGTCTAGACTTGAACCGAAGCAGACATACCGAGGCATTGTGTTCGGGCCCAATCAGGTGTCCTCTCAATCTCTCCTCGACTCTCTGTTCCTTCCCGAGTTCACTTTGTTGGGCCAAAACAATGAAACAGTTGTCTGGCGGTCTGTTACTTTCCGTTCCGTTTAATCAGCACAACGTCATTTGTGATTAAATCATATGTCAATCAAACACACACACACAGAACACTATGGAACTGTCAGGTGATAAACTCCCCAGCGCTTGTTTGCACACCTCATTGTACCTCAATGTGGCCGTGACGAAAAAGTTTAGATTCTGATCTATTGTGAGGCAAGCTCACGTGTTGTTCACACTGTCCGTAAGGGGAACCATTTGCAATTTTGTTGTCAAGACCACAAGCTTGTTAGTCCTCAAATGCGAAATTCCTGTCCAATGCACGTTGTCGGTCATCTTTAGTATCATTCGTGTCCGACTTTCTCTCCCACCCACCCCCCCACCCCCAACCACACAAACGCTCGCGGCTTACCATACCGAGTTGAACGATCGGGATATTGAAATATTGATTGGGACAAAACCCAATGGGTCGGGGTTTGAAATAGGAGTTTTGATCAAAAAGATATTAGAATTTAGGAGCGGGATAAATAAATCACAAAACTGATGAATTTCTTAGTCATTGTTAGAAACATGTAAATGGTTCCCAATTTGCTAAAAGTTACCCCGATTTGTTTTTTTCTAGTTGACACGCACAATCTGGATTGATCTATTTATGAACGACTTAGGTAAACTCGATTTTGCAACTCTTCATCGGTGTCCCAATTCTATGCATAAATGAGACGGCACGATGAAATGGGAGGAGAAACTGTTTATCCGTGTCCTCGTGGTGGTTGGTTGGCTTAGCAATTTTGAGTTTTCCATCGACCCGGTCAGTGACATCCGATGTCAATTTAAGCGTGTGGTAAGAAGAACAGGTCCGTAAACGAACAGGTTGCTTGGTTCGGGGGAAGATAAAAATACGACTACAACAAAAAATGCACAAGAGAGCACAAGAAACTCCAGCCCCAACCTGTGTTGATGTGTGTATGTGTGTGTGTGTGTGTGTGTGTGTGTGTGTGTGTGTGTGTGTGTGTGTGTGTGTGTGTGAAAGACAGAGAGAGGGACCGAGTGAAAGAGTGGAATAATCACAGGTCTTCTTGATACCATTTGCTCTCTATATATAGTTGGTCATTGTCATATCAATCAACTCGTCAACAGAAATTACTACTCGAACCGATTCGTACAACGCAAGGTGTTTCTGGGGACAGATCGAGAGGTAGAGAACGATAGATAGAGAAACATCTTGTTTTTAGTTCTCCTCATTGTGCATGCGGTGATGCGGTGGGCGGAGTAAAAGGTGTGAAGTGGCGGAAACAGAGGCTTTTTTATGGTCCCACTCAGTGTTTAGGTTTGTGGTACATTTTTTTTTGGGGGGGGGAGGTGCGGTAGCAGGAAATTGTGATCTAACATACAGTGTAATATACAAAGGGGAAAAATGCCCCTTGCTGATGCA